TTGCTTATTTTACACTGAGGATGAGTTGATGAAGATTAAAATGTTTGAAATTTGGCATTTTAAATAAATTGTTAAATATTAAAATTTTAATTATTAGCACTCAACCACCTGGATTGATTTGTAACCTTTATTTATAAAATATTTGATTTGAAAATAATTTTGAACTATTAAAATTATTATGCAGCATATTTAAACTATTGCAACAATGTCAAAACATTTTGCAGCATTGATTATTATGCTTCAGATTCCTAATTATTTTCTTCAAATCTATATCTAGCTAAAATTTTAAATACTTTAATAAAAAACCGTTTTTTTCGCGTAACAAATTCGTTTGGAGGCACTAATGCGCTCTGATGCATATTAAAATTATTGTACCGTGAATGTAAAAATAAAATATTTTAGAAAAAATACACATTTTACCTAACAGTACCATAAAGTACACATATTGAAGATGTCACGGCGAGTTTCACGGTTTAACTTGTTTCTATTTACATACATATTTTTACCTCAATTCATGTACGACAGCTTTAATGTGCAGTAGTACATTATTATATATATATATATATATATATATATATATATATATATATAATATTTATTAAAAGAAATCTTTCTTTTATTTATTTAATATGATTTATATAATTTTAGTATTTATTTGTCGATACTTTTAAGTCGTTTTGTGACCAAAGCGATTTACGTGTCACATTATTGTTTACGATTTCTCACGCGAAAGGTTCTTCGATAAACGCGCTCGGGCTTGGTCCCAGTCTATCGTACCTACAGTCTGTGCAAGTCTCATAAGACAATAATGGGCCCCGCGTACCGACGAAATGGTTTCGAAGATTTGAGGAACGCGCGGGCAAGAGACCGCGACCACGGCACAAAGCGCGCCGCCACAGGCAAGCCCTGCCTGCGAGATAATTGTCTTCTTAGCGAAGGTGTATATACCGCGAGCAAAGAGAGAGAAAGAGAGAGGGGCAGTGAGGTATGAATGGTGGTCTCACATATGGCGACACATGCGGGACAAAATAAATACTGTGTCGGCCGCTATATACGTTGTGTCTCACGTCGAAACCGTGTATAGACGGCGAGTCGAGAGTGCCAAAGCCACTCGATCTTTCACTTCTCGACAGAGCGATCTCGATGAAAATTTATCATTTACGCGAAAAAGACGAACTTCATTTACGAAGAGAAAAGCGCATGCGATATATAATTGCTCCGTCGTGATGTTAACGTTATTTCTGAATGATAATCTACATTGTTAAATTCATAATATCAAATTATACCTACTCAAAGTATACAATTTGAATGTTTTTAATTATTTCTATAGGTCGCCTTTTCTCCTATTTAATATGTCGTTAATTTTATTAAAACAATAGTTAAGCAATTTAACTCAAAAAAATGTATTGAATTTGACTCAAAGTTTATTGTTCACTAATTGTAAGTGCATAGATTAATATCGATATTATTTAGTTTGAATCTAACCATAGAAATGGATTGATTTACATTTTGACCAGGGTTGACAAAAATCATTTTAAACATGTTCTAAATATGTTTTTTTTAATAATATGACATCGGAAAAATTTCTGATTGAAAATGGACGAATCAGAACCTTCTGATTAAATTTATTAGAATACATCTTATTTCTACTAAAATAATTATATCAATTAGAATTTTAATTATTTCACAACTATATAGAATTTTAGTAGATAAACAAAAAAAATTTATCCATATATCACCAGATATACTATTTAATATCCAACCAGATTTTTTTTTTCAATGCGTTTAAACCATGTATGAAGTATTAAAACATACATGTTTAAGAAAATGTTTCGTTTTTAAAAAGAAATTATCTTTTGCCAACCCTGGATTTCGACACGTATAAAAGAGAAAAGTAACAGAATGTTATTTAACTCAAGGAATTGGGTTAACATTGCTTCTTTAATATTCAAAGGAGTGTTTATACTGATCGTAAACTGTTAACTTATATGCCATAACCGGTAAGTTCAATATAATGATTTACGCAGATTTACGTGTCATAAAAGTTGAATTCGAGTTAACTTTATGGTTGTAACATAATAGTTACATGTATCCAGTAAGTCATTACAAACGAAAATATTGAAATTGTTGTGTTAAACTTTACTGGATACGGTATAAGTTAACAGTTTATGGTCAATATAAACGCTCCGGAGCAGTGTATGTGATATTATACTAGTAGCTTATTTTGTCTTATTTTGTACCGTATACATAAAATATATGTAGTAATCCATCACCACGAGGGAAATTAAAAATAGATAAACCATTCTGACGATATCGATCAGAATTCTGGTTATCTTAATTAGAATTATAATAGATTCAACCACAAAGTTCTGATATCCATTTTCAATCAGAATTCCGATTTACAGCAACCCGATTCTTTTCCCAATGATAATTTTAATGACTTTTACTGATCAATTTAATTTTCTTAACTATGATTTCGAAGAGCAAATAATTTTCGAGTTTTAAACGACTGGAAATGAAGATCCTCTTACAGAAAAAATACGATTTTATAATGAAATTCGTTTAGTTTAAACTCGAAAGGACTTTACGTTCTCAAAATTCAAATTGACATTTATTATCTTCGATGCGGTTTTAATTATCATAAACATTACAGCATTTGAAATAAACGTTCTCCAATTTGAAACCACTGATCTCTACTCGTCGTTCATTCATTAATACGGAATAGTATCAAAATACGTAATAACGTCTTTCTTCACTCCACTCTTCCATTTCCTTTCTTCTTCGTTTCATTCGATTTTTCTTTTTTCCCTCCTCTTGTCTCTCGCTCCTCATCACGCGTTCCCTGTCTGCCTTGTGGCGAGTGGGTGGCGAGTGACAATTAGCATACTCGCGTGATCAAAGCGGTAGGACGCGCGACAAGAATTAACGACCACCAACAAGACGACGACTCTTTCCTCACGTTTACGCGATGAATCGCGGCGCCCTCGATGCTTCGGCACCCACACGGCCTGATGATTCGCGCGTGGATGGACGCGCGAATACCGGTGGTTACATATCGTCGTCGTGACCGCTTCTGACGCAACCGGAGAGATCGACGTACCGACGTCCGTCGTGCGTAGATCAGAAATAGCAAACCTACGTTCGAGACGAATGGTAAAATGTATATGTACGGGCGGAAATGCTCCCGCTGTTTGCGATCATCGCGCGAGAAAAAAGTAAAATTAAGATCCTCGAAAGGTAAATATTAGGGCGCTCATAGATACTCTGTCAATTGGTAAAACATTCTTGCGCAAATACATGTGGTGCAAATATATAATATTATAGTAGATGGAGATTAAGAAGCAAAATTATCTAAGCTTGAAAAAAAATAGATTGAGTGATTTAGTAAAATTAATAGCTTGCTGCGCGAATTGAACATTTCTAATTAAGAAAATTCGATTGTTCAATAAAGAAACCATGTCTGTAAATGATGATCGCAGTATGCAAATTCTGCTAATTCTTTGTTATAACGAAAATTGCTAATGTAAAAAGCTTTTTTGTTACAGCAGCAAAAGTACGTGCCATTTTAACCAGCATGTTTTGTTAAAAATTTTGATTTATGTATTTGTTTATATATAATTTTCAAAACATTAACTCCTTTTAACAAATTAGCTATGCTATTACACCATATATAATTATCTATTTAATTACTAATTTTATTCAACTATACAATTTTGCTACTTTAACAAAGAAAATTAGCTAATGTATAATAAATAATTAGCTCGTATTACGGCTGTAGATTTGCTGAATCAATGCAGTTTGTAATTGTTTTAATAAATCTTTTTTTCCGTAAAACAGTGCTTTATGATTTTTGAAAAATATTATATATTATACATTTTGACAAATCTGTATTAAAAATATTACTATCAAGTATACTGTTAGATATTATAATTAGTGTGTGTATCTATATTGTAATAAATTATATCGTAAATAAAAGTGAGCAAAGCATTAGTACTTACAACATGCATGAACTCACGGAACCACACACGACGATACGACTGGCATATTAATAAAGAAGGGCAGTATACAATCAAAGAGTATATATCAAATTGATATTTATGGCGAATACTTATACAGACGTATATCGGATACTCGACTATTTTTGAACATAGCTGGAGAGAGGTACGCAGAGATGGGATATTTATGGAGGATTGCCGACATTTTCTTCTTCTTTGCTTTGAAATGAAGGCCTCTATGCAAAGCGCTTTACGAGAATATGCTTTGATTTATTTTCAGTCGGCTGCAGCGTCTATCATACGGACGCTGCAGATCAAGCGTGCGTGGCGCCTCGTCACGTGTGACTATGCTCTGGTTTCCCAGCGTTAATTACTCGCTTACAGCGCTCGTTACAGCGTTTTCCTCGCGTCAACGTTCGTCTTCCTTTTGCGAAGTAGCGCGTCCAAGCACGTCGCAACATGAGTTTTCGCGAAGCCGAGTTATATTTCTTCTTGAGAAAAAGGATTATATCCGAAACCGAGAGTTGGCTGCCCATAAATCACAATTACGAGGAAGAAGAGATTCAAAGTCACTTGTTGTTCTTATATATGTTACAGCTTACGTTAGTCTTACGACATTACGCTTCATTTGTCGAGCTAACAAGCAATCGTCGAAAATGTCGGTTTGCGGTCGTAATTCTTCTCATTGATGAATGCGACTTCGAATGACGAGTTCAACGATCGGCCATATAATCGCGTCACGTAACACATCCCATTAACTTTCGACAATACGCCGTAGTTGGAAAACGCGGGTATCATCTCCCACTTCCCTTCCGTTTCCCCTACCATTTCACCGAGCATCCTGAAATGCAAATCGCATGGTGCGGCGCAATATGCTAATGCAACCATCGTTGTATCCGACAACATTTGTCTAACCGAGCGTTAAGATCCTGCCAGGGCACTCGCCGGCTCCTTGTTTCACGCGTGAACGACCCTTAACCCGGCGCAACGAAAGCCTGAACCAACATGGGGGAGGGCTGTTTTCGCACTACGGCTATGAGGATATCCGTATTGGGTCGGAGAACGTAAGCCAGATTGATGTACCGCGTGCAAGAGAGATTTATCGAAACGATATTTTTATCGGTGACGACATCTCACGGATTTTTTAATAAATAATGTGACGATGTGAAATACGCTTTATTTCCAATGTCTATTGATGTCAAGCACTTACTATACGTTTTTTATTCTTCTGTGCACCTACATTTTCTGTAAATTAACTCCTAAAAAATTTTCTTAAATTTCATTCAATTATGTAAAATGATATCAATCACTAGCTGAAATATTGTCTCCCAGAGATTACATTTGATTTTATATAGTTTTATCTGATGTGCGATAAATAATTTTCTTCGTTATATTATATGTATAAAGTCATTTGATAAATAAACGATTTTATCTAATATATAATTATCGGATTATATACATCAGAATTTCATATAAATTTTATAATAATTTCGGGACTCTGTCCTACGATTACATTAAGGGTGCGTTCCACTTAACGTTCGCAACGCTAGCGAGTATCATTTTGTCCTTCTTGTAATCGAATATTAAATAAGGATAGAGATGATAGACGCGATCGTTGCGAACGTTAAGTAGAACGCACCCTAAAAGTAATTACTCCCTCATTGATAAAACACTAAATTTTTATATTTCTCTCTCTCTTTTCCATATATGTATAATATACTTTATTGATACGACCAAGAGATTGGAATGTCGATTAGACTCGGTATATCTCGTGGATTAAATCCGAAAGCTTAAAACTACGGTGAAGTATGTATGAAAAAATATACGTCTCATATTTTAAGCTTTTCTACATGTCCGAAGCTCATCAAGAACAGGGACCGTTGCCAACGTTTCCTTGTCACGAACTTGGAGGCAGTTTGCCTGGCGGAAGCAATCTCTTACTGACACACTGCACGCTCGCACATTTGTTTACGCGAATCAAGACGCGAAAGGAGGACGGATAAATAACGAGCACTTTTGCAGAATAAATGTTCTCGTGTTGCTGTTTTCGTGATTGATTTAGAACGATTAATGCCAACTGATTGTGAAAATTTTAACTTTTACCGCGAGTTATTTCCATAGCAATAACGATGGATTTGAGAAACGTCCGAAACATTAATGACGCGTTTGATTAACGAAAAAATAAATAATATACATCTAATTAAACGAACGAGAGAGAGAAAATTATATAAACAAAAAATGGATATAATTATTTAAATTCAAATACCAACTTGTACTGAAAACATTAAAGAAAATTCTCTACCATGCAACCACAACATTTGTACTTTAACCACCCTAATTAGCGCCCCCTAACGTTACGCCCGGGGGTGCTGTAGGTCTGTCTCCTTTTGTCGAGAGATCCCCTTCCCAGCATTTTCCCAATCCACAGAGGTCAAGTCAATCCGTTGACGCGATCGAAAAATTATACTGCGGGTAAATATCCTCAAGCGAATACATACACACGTATGCCACCGCGGCCGTTCCCCTCGTCGGTTGTATTACGCCAACGCACGAGGGGTACGTATATACGTGCGGCACTGCAACGAGGGACTCTCCTTTCTGTAATCGATACTAATTAGAATGAGGCGAAGTTTCGGATCGTGTGCCGGCGCTCGCATCAACGGTACGCCCGTTCATCCCTATGGGGTATCCCTCCGTCGTTCTTCTGGAGAGGGGGTTAATATCGACGAGACGTACCTACGACGTATTGTAGGCTTTCGTAGAATTTATCCGGCCATTATATCGGCGGCTGTGAGTGTTCTCGACATAAATGGGCCCTATCACTGTCACACGAACAAAGCACGGCCCCGACGTGGTTATGACGGCAACGCGATACCCGCTTTCGAGTAATAATATAATAATCGCGGTTGTTTCGCCGTCGTCGTTGAACCCCGCGGGATCGCTTCTCTCCTCTCGTCTCGTTCTTGTCTCTAAGCTCTCTTTCCGCTTCGGCCATGAATAGGACAGGAGAAAACCGCTCGACGGTTCTCCTTCGCGGCCGGATACATCAAGCGAACCTGAATATGGATTTCTCATTCTTTCGTATATCGGCGCTTTGTGCAATTATTCTGCCTCCCTCTCCCTTATTGCTCTTTTATTGCTTTTATCACCCCCTTTGTTCTTTGTGTGTGCGTTTCTCCGCTCCTCGATGACGTACGCGTTGTTCCTTTCCACTCGGAGCAATTTTTTGTGTATATTTTGATGCTGGTTTTCTACCAAAACAGCTTTTGATTGACAGAATTATGATTTAAAAAACAACCGTTCGATGTGTATTTCTTTAAGAATATATACTCTTAATTTCCAATGATACATGAATCTCATTTATTCAAAGGAATTTTTTTTAAGTTTTAAAATATTTTATTGATTTAAAGGATAACAAATGGAAAATTATTAAAAATGATGTGAAAAATGTATGAAATATATCATATATAACTAGATACAACAAAATTCTGTTATTGTTATTTGATTCTGAGTATATTAAAGGAAACCTCTAAAGTACTCGCTGCATCGGACAAAATTTCCAATTTTTCGGTCAGTACGAGCCAATCCTTGTAGGGATAAAAGATAAAGTAATGGTTTCCCCATCGTTTTTTTCCCGGCCGTTACGTCCTTGACCGCTTTAACCGATTACCCGATATCGATTCTGTTCACCGCAAAACTATACCGGTTGTCCGAACAATCAGCCGCTTCCGCTAACGACACTGTTGGTTACCGTCGCTCGTCCGTATCTCGGAATGCTATTTCCGAAAATTGAAGAGGAGAGAGAGAAAGAGAGAGCTATCAAAACAAGATAAAATCGAAGACAAATCTAAAGCATCTGAACAGAAAGGGCAAAGGGTTTACAACTAACGGTAGTAATAGACTATCAACAACGCTCAATTTGATATAAATGTAACTCTCTGTTTGCAATCACGTTTTTCACTCTCTGCAATCCAAGTCTTTTTACGATGTTCCAGGTTTCCAAAACAATGTGGAAAAAATCATAAAAAAATTTATTTACTTTTTGTCATCTCTATTACACAATATACAAAACATTTTATAAGAGATGGCAAAAAATAAATGAATTTTACTATTACCTGATAGTTTTTTAATAAGATGCTTTAGGAGGAAGAATCAAATTTGTCCTATATTTCGGAAAAATTTGAGTAAAATTTCGTTTGTAAAGAAAGATTCAGTTTACAGATGGAGGATTGAAAATGTATTAAAAAAAATATTTAATATATAGCATTAATGTAATTATCTTGACGATATATCTTTGCAAGGTATTTTTGTTTTCAAATTTAATTTCTATTTGTTCTCCGATGTTATCAATGATTAGATATATTAACCAATTCATTGGTGGACCCAAAAATCAACGTTTTATACCAAAACTAATTAGAGCGAATAATTTTGCATTTTACATGGAAACTTATCTGTATAGATTTTTGGGTCGCTAATGACGAATCCAGGGTCGAAATTTCAAAATGGCGGATCAAAATGGTGCTCATTTATACGAGTCATTATCAAAGGCGCTAAAGGATTTGCGAGTTATCCTTTTGTCACTATTGGTTATGTCAATATCGGTTATGTGGCACTTTTTTCTCTTATACACGAGTCATTACTAGTGAACTACAATATAGTTAAGACAGTGCGGAGACACTTGTCGATGCTTTTATAAAAAGAGTCATTTGAATACCAAGTGTCTCTCCTCGTGAGGAGACGCGAAATATAGCGTGCGCTTCGTTTCACTTTGGACGGACCGCAATATCGGGCGACTGTTTCGATCAGGGATGCTAGCGGAGGAAATCTCGACTGTTTGACGAGAAGCTCATCCTCATCGTAAATACCGTTTCTTGCGATGTGGCCACAGAAACACGAGTCCCACTCCTGCTGTTGCTCCTAATTCGTCATCGCGATCGAACCCGTCTGTTGGGAATATTTCGATCTTGCCTCATGTAAGCGACGGTAATCCCGGTTACGAGGAAAGCCAGCGACATTTTCAAGAGTACACAAGATAACACACCGAAAAGGTGGGGTAGACTAGACTCGCGGTCGTTGAGTATCCGTAAAACGCGCTCTCGGAAGGGCCGTAAACCGTACCCAAACAAACCTGAAATAGCTGGTCGACGGAGCCTTGACGAGTCTTGCTGACTGCTGATGCCGGCACCGTCTGTATTCTCGGCCGCAAATAAATAATAAACGTTACACGCACCGTCCCTACGAAAGATGCACCCTGGACGAACTATCATCAGTTCCTTTACGACTGACGGATGCTTCAGAAAACGGGCAACAGATGAAAACGAAAGTATAACGATCGGTGAATGAAGTGGTTACAACGTGTTCCGTAATCTTTTTTAAATGCTTACTCCTGTCGGTGAAAATGTAATTGCACTAATATGTTCGTATCGAATGTTCTTATTTCAAGTGCTAATATATAATTTATTAGATAAAACAATGCATTTTGTTCTAATTATTTTTATCGTAAGAAAAATTAAATGATAAAGATATCTGGAAGTGTAGTCAGAGATCTCACAGTCTCTTGCAAGAGTGTTTGATCAAAATGAGTGAAGAAATTATATGTTTTTTTATTGTGCCTCGAAGGGATAGAACGGAGATACGCTACGCAAGATCGTATGATTACATTTCCAATTATTGCGCGTATCGATGACGGTAACTATTATTCTAAATAGTGAGTGCGTTTTAGCCACTTTTCGAACGAACCTCGCTCTTTCATCGATACACCGTGACCATCTTCTCTTTCCCGGTGGTGCCCTAAGGGCAGCTGGGAGCGCTTCCGAGCCCCCTAAAGCCACACCCTCGATTCTCATCAAGATTTACCGTGTAAACGAGCTTTGCTCGTGTCTGAACGGTGCTACTAATCGAACCCCTCGAGCCGAAAGAATTGAAAACAATGCGGAGCCGATGCGTTCGAGGCTTTTAGGAGAACGAGATCGCCAGGCGTTTAAAAGCATCAAGGCAAGAAAGCGAGGCAGACTGGGCGATTTACATTTAATGAAATTGCTAGTAAGTGCCAGCATGAATTATCGGTAAATCAATCCTTGGATTAACTTATCGAATTAACGATCACACACGTCACAATCATGCGCTAAGGAAATCAACATTGTAATTTAATTCTATTGCAAAACTGGTGAGCTGGTTGTTTGATCTTTTGGTAAATTTTACACGTTAGGTAAGTACAGCGAGATTACTCAATCACTTGCGTGGATTGCCAGACTTACTTAACGCGTAAATTTACCGAAAGCTGAAACACGGCCCTGTGTGTCCAAGCAAAACTCTCTTGAAATTAATTTAAGATTGTAATTTTATTATCTTTTCTCGACGAAATGTAATTTGCGAGGAATACCCTATAATTTCAATCGCTCGTAACACGAATTATTACGACGTCCATGTCTTCATTAAAGGAAAAATTGACATCACGTGTACCCATTAAAGAAGATTGCGAAACACCGTTATATAATTTCAATAAGATAATTCGCGATATATAGGTAGATATCTTGTTATCGTCTCGAAAGAATCGATAGCGAAGTCATTTACACTAAAATATTTAGAAACCAGGAAAATGCGAATTGAATCAATACGGTACCTTAATTAATTAATAAGAAATATCCCCCCCCCCCCCCCCCCTCTCGCCCTCCTGTCCACATTTTACCCTCCGTGTTTCATCCTCTCTCGGACCCGTTGCGTTCTCTCTCTTTCTCTCTCTCTCTCTCTCTATAATTTTCACCCGAATACCTGCTCTAATTATAGGTGTTTCGTCACGGCGGAGAGAGCGAGATCTCATGGTGTCGGTAGCTCGCGCGCGGCGATTCCTACCGTTGTGTATCGTCGTAAGGTATTTTATTGTGAGATGATCCATAACGCATATATCCATTGAATTCGAGGAAACGAGCGAAATAAGAGATTTTAAGAAAGAAGTCTTAGGCCGGTATTTATTGATTCTTATATTTAAGATTGTCTCTACAATCTTAAGATGTCATGAATCAGGGAGCCGCATCAGCATCTTGGAGCATTACTTAAATGGTCCTGAAATAAAAACGGACTATGAATACTGGCTTTAATAATTTTTATGCTTTTAGACTTTTTCTTTATATGAGATGTAGGTATATCTCATATATATATATAAATATATAATGTCAAAAGCAGATGCTGCGAATAATGCAGTTGTACTTTCAACGTCTGTAATATCAATTTAATCAAGCTTCTTTATTCAAACATAGCAATTTCTCTTAAGAATCTTGAAAGTTGAAAATTAAATTCAGCACGCAGTTTGCAGGATCAAATAGTGTATAATATAGTATATAAATTCACACCGAATTATTTAAAGAGATCTAGCTTTAGGGCCGTTTAGGACTATTATTTTCTATTTGTTTTCTATTTATATCACAGTTTTGAAAAATTCTTTGTTCAATATAACAATTGTTATTTTTACCGTTTTAATTTCCTGCACTAACTACTACCTTGGGCTACCGCGTTCTCTCGTTCTTTACGCTGACTTGCCTTGGGTCTTACCGTGAGCTCGGCGACGGTTGCTCGCGGAAGAATGCGCTCGTCAGAGATCACGCATCTCAATCGTACTTATATGCAATAACGCCTCGAAAGAAATTGAAACGCAATCATTGGAGTGCTTCTTCTTTCTTCCGTCGATAATTATCGATGTAATTACTCAACTATAATAATTAGAAACCGACAATGTACCCATCGATCGACGATACTGCTGTATCTGTAAATCGAAGTAGAGACAAGGGTGGTAGTTCAACGCGCCGTTCATTCGCGACGACCCATTATTTAACGGCGCGCCTAACCCGCGTGCAATGAGGCGTGGAATTAATTAAATTAATCACTCGATATAACCGTCATTACGTTATTACGAGGCGCGTGTTCTGGTTTATAGGTACTTGGGGCTGGAGCCGAGGCTGACATCCGGCCCGATCCAAGGGAGCGGCATCGACCCGCAGACGCAGATCGCCGGCGCGGGTGTGATCGGCCCGGCGAGCGCCGAAAAGAACTGTAAGAACGCGCACCTGACCGCCAAGCAGCAGGCAATATGCTCCCGCTCGCCACCCGTCCTGCAGGTATTTACCTCGTAGCGGCCCGAGGGGCCCTCGCGCGGCCGCTCTTTTTCTCTCTCTCTCTCTCTTTCTCTCGGATTAATGCCCGGAGAAGCACGCGGCTAATTCGATTCGCAGGACCTACGACCGCGTGCCGAACATCGGCCTTCGGCTGGCCGAAATTTTTCGTCGTCGTCGACTCGCTTCTGAGAAAGCTTTCGACGGCTGCCGCTTCGCCTCTGCGTAATAAATGGATTAATGTGTCGTGATTAGTAGCTTTGGGCATTATCAGAGGAATCACGGTACAATTACAGGGTTCGTGGCCGCGTGTTCGCGATAATCTTCTCTCCCCGACAAAATTTCTAGAATCTGAATTTAATCTCCGAATTTTGCGAAATCGCTACTAGAGATTCGACTTCTCGGATTAAATAATTTCGACATTGTATATTATAGTGTTTCAATTTTCACGAGGCAATTAGAGTGTTCATCCGCGTTTCTTTATGCAATCAAACGACTGTTCCGTCTCTATAAATCTGACTGTAATCCGTCTATCCGTTGCGGGATAGAGAAAGCTTTCGCCACGGGACGCACACGTTATGCGGCATCCAAAGATTTACCGCTGCATTTACGGCGATACAATAATAAGTAGGTATGAACTCTTTAAGCGGAACAAATTTGTTTCCTGATCGGCATCACCGATCGTGATTTAAATCTCGGCGCTGTCCGTGACAAAAACGAGCCGGACGTCGTGCGGTTCACACCGTCCCCGAAATCGCGTTTACCTTTCCTTAATGCACAAAACGTGTCGAGGGTGAACAGAGGATGGCGAAGGGGAAAGGGAACGGTCGTCTAGGAATCTATCTAGGCACCTAGGCAAACCTGGGGAACCTCGAGGCATCGATATCTCTTTGAATATCGCCGACAGCGCGGTACGGCTTTTCCGAGCGTAAGTTACCGACAAAAGAGGATCGGGCATGAATATTCAAATGTCAATCCGGGTATCGAAGTTTAATTTTTTAACGAGCGACCAAACCCATTAAGAGACGACTTAACGCTTTTCAATAACTCACGGAGTGTTTGGCTGTTTGATATCCACGATTACTGCTACCTACAGACTAACCGCGATTTACGGTTTATTAAAGCATGCCGTCGTGTTTTTGCGCAAACCGAGAATTTGTTTTATCAGAGTCAGACATTAGAAGATTAGATGATAATTTTTCGTAGTAGTGTTCTCTCAAGCGATGTGATAAAATAAAGAGAAAGTTGATCGGTTAATCAAGTGGAAAGAATAAGACATTAAATGGCACGGAAAGAACGATATTACTAAAGTATCTAAACACTTAGCTATAGATATGAATGTGAAAATAATTTTGTTGGACTATCGAAATAATTATATACGTATAGGAATCTCAAGTATACGAGTGTTTCACAAAGTTTTGACATTCTAGGAACGATCAACTTGTGTGTTCTAAATACGTAACTATATAATTTTGAATGTTCAAAAAAATTACTTTCAGATCTGTATAATATCTGTAGCTTTAGATGCTTTAGCAAAACCTTTCTATGTGAAATTATCATTCTATCATAAACAATATAACTTTACCGAATTCTCAGTAATAAGTTTCAAGTATTCAAAATTTCTACTTTCGGTTGTTAACAGACCTTTTATCACGCGTCATCCTTTGCACGAAAAAATAATAAATCAATCTGTTATATATGGAAAAGATGATTTTACTGAAATATCTAAAAATTTAGCTATATACAGATACAGATCTGAAAATAATTCTGTTGGGCCATCAAAATAATTATGTGAGATGACGCTCAAATTGATTGCTATTTTAATGATCCAACAAAATTATTTGTATCTGGCTAAATTTTTAGATACTTATCGTTCTTTCTGTGTATAGAGTTGGAGATGTTAAAAACGAAGAAACGCGTTTGTTTGAGCAGCGGCTTGCTCGATACGAGAGAACGTCGCTCGAGAGTATCCGAAAGCGACGTTTCTTTTGATTCTTAGCTTTCACCGTCTTACGCTTGCAGGCAGTTAGAGCGGGCGCTAGACTCGCCATAGAGGAATGTCAGCACCAGTTTAGATCAGCAAGATGGAACTGTTCCGTCAGCCCGGAAAATCCCGAGAACGTGTTTGGCGGCGTCATGTTAGTCAGTAAGTACTCACACGCTTTGATGCATGGCGCAGTTCAGGCCGGATATGTCGTTTCTCGGAGTTGTTCTCGCGCGTTATACACTTGTAACGTCAAGTACCATCGAGTGGTGTTGGTTTTTGTAGCGCGACAAAAAAATTCCGTTTGCGTTTTGCAGATAGCCGAGAGGCCGCGTTTATATACGCCGTATCAGCAGCTGGAGTCGCTTACAGTGTCACGAGAGCCTGTTCCAGAGGCGAGCTCACCGATTGCTCCTGCGACAATCGTGTGAGAGCGCGACGTCCGAACAATTGGCAGTGGGGAGGATGCAGCGAGGTGAGTGTCACCAGAGGATTCTTTTGTATATCTCTCATACGTGCCTCCCTATCTAGGCCCGATGAGTCATTTTCGCCGTACCATTTCCTCATCGTGCAAATAATACTGTAACAAATTTGTTATGAATGTCGTGTATCTCGCTCTTGCGTTTTAAAACCGTCCTAAGTAATGTCTTAAGATGTTAATGTGACTCTCTGATTGGTTCATGACGTATTAAGACTGTCTTGAGTACAGTATTAAAATATCATAAATTAATCTCTCACAGAGTAGTATAATTATTATATATTTATGATTTTGAAATAAGAATATGGATTTTTTTTTATTAATACCAGCCTGTAATGATTGGTTCATGACATCTTAAGATTGACATTTAAGACAATCTTAAAGAATTGACTTTGAATAGGTATATTGGTCATAGATTTTTATCCAAGTATCTATCTGTTTGACTATTTTATGCGCGCTATCACTTTTTCAGTTATTCTTAAGTGAAAGGATCAGATAATTTGATACTAACAATTTGGTATTAAATAATGTATATTAAATATCTTTATTTTGATCGATCGACGTGTTGCGTATCCCGTGTCATATCGTGCTGCAAAGGGTTGGGACACGTGCATCAGTAATTATCTTAATATCTCTTTGCCCGCTTATATCTCTCACCGACGGCTCTCTCGACGCGAATTTTAATGCTAGCCGAAGACAAAGCTCGGGCAGTAAACGGATGCGTTTCATGCGAACGGCTGACCCCTTGTAGACATTGCCGGCTTACAAGGGGATTAAGGGAGCTAAGCTTGTTAAGTTGCAACAACCCACCGGCCTTATCCCCCCCCCCCACCCCACTTTTTCCCCTGCAATCCGGACACGTAACTTAGTCGGGCATGAGGAACGAGAATTCGCGCAACACACGTAGACGCGTGACACGTGCAGACGCAGTTAGGTATACGCGCGTCTGTCAGAGTATCGAGGATTCAAATATCTTTGAATCGCAACATAATCTCACATTCAAGATTTGTTAATAATAATAACAATATTAATTAGTAATCATAAATAAATTGTTAATGCAACATTTATTAATATAATATTTATTATTTTTTTCATTCCAGTAAATATATTATTAATAATCCCGATATAATTAATAATGATATAATAATTTGTATATTAATCGTTTCTAAATATAAATAAATTATGGAATTCTCTCCTTAAAAATGCAAATTTATCAACCATTATTAAATTATCAGGTTTATGCACCATTATCTGATTTGATAATTTTAGCGCGAGTTTGCGAATTTGTACAAATTATGTACAATTAACTTTTTTTTTTGGATTTTATTATACATACCGAGAAATCAAAAGTATTTCGAAAAAAGAATTTCTACAGAGAATTGTGTAAAATTATCCTTCTTCCTCTCTTTTCCCCTATTACCATTTCTCTTTCATTTTAATATCTTGTTACCTCTATTAAATTATTGTGTACGTAATTAGTTTTAATACCTATTTTGCTAAGAAAATACCGTGACGATTACGTTAGAGAAGTTTTCATCCAGTTACAAAAAAGTTAAGGCGTGAGAAAACGTGAAAATCGCGGGGATGTGTCTTAACGAGGGTGAGTTCGTGGACAAATGCCTCGGATAACCGGCGACACAGAACTCGGAGGTAATGATGTTTGCCTGCTCTCTCGCCGAGCAGCCGACAGGAGGGTGGCCATTAAAGGCCACCGGGTCTGAATAAGCTTTTGTTTTACTATCGTTTATAATTTTGTATTATTAAGTAAAATGCAACAATAATTAAAGAACTTTCATGTTTTTTTTTTTTTAATTTAACCGTTCGTCAAATAATATCGCGATAACAAATGCGATTAGCGATCAATTTAGATCAATTTACTTAATCGTAAATCCGAATCTAATATATATTAATTGAAATAATTATGTTAATAGTATATTAATATTATATAATATTATATATGTATAATTATTATATGAATATTATTACACTGTAATCTATATAATTATTATACTAATTGAAATAATACTACGTAAAACAATTAATATTTGATATGCGATAAATACGACATAAAATGCAACGCGATTTGTGCTCATTAAATCAAATCTCAAAAAGGATCACTGATTCAACTATGGTATTTTTAGTAGAGACACAAATTGCACATACACGGAAAGAACGATTTTACTGAAGTATTTAAAAATTTAGGTAGACATATAGTGTAGATGTGAAAATAATTTTGTTGGACTATTAAAATAATTATGTAGAAAATTTAAACATGACTAACAAAAAAAATTGGAATAAGTGGAAAAGTTTGATATTCTAGTTTCTATTCTAGAAAAGTTTCTTTCGTTCAAACATTATTTTTTTAAATCAAATAAAAAAATTTACTTGATTTGTAATATAATAGAATTATCTAAATTTTTATAATATTTCAGCAATTTTTTATGATAATTTTTTTTACTGGAAAAAGGACTAAATTTTAATAAATCATTTGTTTAAATAACACTAATTTAATATTTACTAAATATAAAGATAATATTTATAAATATTTGTTCTCTAAATTCTTTGAAGTAAAGTTTTACTCTAGACTTTAATCTAGAGAGTGAAAATTGAGTTAGTTTTGAAAAAGAGTGGCTCGATTTTTAATCTTTAAGAGTCAGATTTTATTCTTCACTCTGAGATTCACTCTAAAAGAATATTTGATACAAGAACTATTAATTTTATTTAACTATCATTTTTTATTGAATAAATATTTATTTACTATAACTAAATGTTTAATCGATGTTATTCAAATAAATATTTCTTAAAATTGAGTACATTTTTTTCAGTATGTATATAATATTAGCGCGGTAAATGATAAAATAAGACATACTTGACAGCAACCATAAGATCGGAGATCAATCGTGTCCTCATTTTGAAAAAATAACGGCATGAAACAGACGGAGTGGTTCTTGATCCACGTATGAATGATTCTTGCCACGTAGAAACGTCGATACTGAAACATGTATAACAATGACTATGTAAGATATTTAAAGCGTTATAATATACACACATAAACATGCATGCATGCACATAACAACTGGGACCTTAACGGAATACTCGCAAGGATCTTTTACGCGAGGTTCGCTTTTATTCACACGGAAAGAATTATTTCTTAAAATATAGTATAATATTATGGTACAATACAATATTTTAAAGATTTGTACCACGCATTTTAGTAAAATAAAAATTCTTCGAGATATAATGCTGTCCCACGATTATTATATTTTCAGAGTAAATTTTCAGGAATAATTCTTTCCGTGCAGTGACAATCGGGATAAAATGCAATTGTGAAAACACTGTGTGATACGATACGAGTCTGTCATGGCGCGCTTCATTACCGATTACGATTCTCGAGATATCGAAACGGCGATCGGTTTCTTTCGGTAACATTTCATAAAAATGACCTTATCTACAACAAACAAAAGTTGTTGTATCCACGATATTAGAAATCGATCTGTTATTATCTGCGTTGCTTGGAATTCTCAAAACATTTTTACTTGAAACAGAATAAATATATTCGGGCATGGAAGAGATACACCCAGAGAAAAACATATTTAAATTGAAGAAATCGGTTCTTTCGTTGATATTTTTTTTAAACTAAAATGAAAACATTTGTGTGAAAAATAAGAACTTATTTGATTTCAAGAAATGAAGTTTGAAATCAGAAAAATTTATTCGATTTCAAGAAATAACATCCAATCAAAGAAACTTTTTTTTTAACCGCGTAGCAATGCACAAATCCCTTTGATTCAATTTTTTTTAATCAAAGAAATTTTTCTCCGAGTGCAAAAAGCATCCTGAACGCAAATAAGGTACAAGTAACTCACGCAAATCTAAAATTTAATATATCAAAGAAAAAACGTAGAAAGTGAGTGTAAGGAAGTGTAATTAACACGAACGTAGCTACGTCATTTATCATAAGTATAAAATTCAAAACGTGCAGAATAGTCAAAAAGAGTAATGCGACAAATTATTGCAAAAAACGTAATTAACACAGAATGGTGATATATATGTACCTGGACACGATCCCGTTTCTTACAGTTCCATTGGAAAAATGATGGCGTCTAATCAACGGAAATTTTGGGTGATCAGTATCGAGATCCTTATATATTGGCACATAATGACTGTTGCACGAGACGCGCACATACGTGAATATGTACATTCAACACTTCGCGGAACAGAAAAGAGCATCTTTCGTGCGCGAGATTTACTTTTGAACGTCGAAACAATTGATGGATACGAAACGATAAAAACGCGTCGCGAAACTTTCCGTTACTGTGGTTCGAGAATCGCAATATCGAACATCGCGCGATTCTCGATGCGGCGGACCAATCGTAGCTTTGCAATAATTTCGAAATCGATAGAATTTCCAATCCACGATCTAATGCGATTTCTAATCACGGAGTATTAAATACTCCGTGCACATCGCGCTCGTCCTTACCGGATTTCTTGTCATTCTGACGCAGTCCGTTGGATAGCGCCATCATTGGAGGGAAATCTTGTGGCGGCCCGCCACCAGAGGTCCAAAAAGGAAATTAATTTGTGATTTTAAATCAGAAAATCCATTTCAGAGCACAAATTCCCCGTTTGAAAGCAAATTCTCTTATAATATAATCTTAAGTTTTAAAACATATTTCTTTGCTTTAAGAATAGAAATTACATATTTTCTTACTTAAACTTAATTTTAAATTTGTACGTAAAAGTGTTTGTATACGCAATCGATTTGCAGACAATAATACTACATGATACTTTATTTAAACTTAATATACCTCCCAGGTCAAAAACTAATTTAATACTTTATTTATTTTTGTCAATAATTAACATAATTTGTATATATATTTTTGTATAAAAAATCATATTTATATTAAACTATATATTATTAAATTATATTAATTTTAATAAATACTAATTGCGATAACTAATATGAATGGTTAAAATATAGAATATCCTGAAAATAAAATATCTAAACAACTATTTCAGAAAAGAAAAATAACGAATTACTTGCAATAATTTAGTTGTAAAAATACGTGCGTGAAATTTTTTTCTCTCTGATAACCGAAGCAACGTTGGAAGATCGAAACACGCTGTCTCACCAGTTCTAATCACTGCGATTATTTTGACGCGCACAAGAATGAATACAGGATTTATTTATCATACCGACAGGATGCTATCGAAGACCCTCGGTGACTTGACTACAGCGAGCTGTCGTCGATAAGTCGACGTGCATGATGCTACTTGAGAGAGGGAGAGGGAGAGTCACGATACTCGAGGGGAAGGATTACGTTTAGACAGCATCTAACAGCGAAAGCAAAGAGGGCACGATATAATCTCGGTGTTGCCGACGTGTACCGAGAAACATCTGGAAACGTCAAAGGCGGTACTATTAAAACAAAAAATATTAAATATCAAACGCTTAGAAGAAATATTAATATAAAAAAAAAAACAATAATATAATATTAATCTTAATACTATATGTTATACTCTTTATAACATTCTTTTTAATATTTGATTATTACGTTAATGTCAAAGTAACGTTAAAGTTACTTCGTGTAAAATATGGCAACATAAGATCTTTAAGAGATATCGTGTATGTTTTTAAAATATCACGATAAAGTTATGTCGCTCGTCCTTTAATGATACGCGTTTATTCATCTCGAAACATTCAGCATGAGACTTGTAGATACACCTCGTACCGTGCATTCGTAACCATGAATCGCGGCATAAAGCTACCTCGGAAGTTTCAAAGCTGGGGGTCTTTAAGGACCCGCGCGAAATCTCCTCGGCGCATGAGGCTTAGGACCTGTTCGCTTAATCTCCACGGCCATTCTGAGCTCGTGGTCGTCGTCGCAAAACGAAGGGAAGTCAGACGATGCAAAAAAAAAAAAAAAGATTCGAAAGAGTGGTATCCCTAGAGAACATTCGACTCCAGATGTCTGTCTGAAGTCTTCTTGGCGCGTCTTGAAACTCTTAGCGTTAAGTTTTTAATGTTGTTTAAGAAAATATGAGAAACGTGTATTCTCTTCCACAGGATATACACTTCGGGGAAAAGTTTTCACGGGAATGGTCCGAGAGCGGGGAGGAACCGTTGAAGGAGGGTGCTCTGCACGGGCCTAAAGGGTTGGCTGGCCAGCTGATGAGGAAACATGATACCGAGGCCGGCAGACGCGCCATTCGCTCCAGGATGCAGCGCGTTTGCAAATGTCACGGTGAGCAATGGAAAGATCCTTCCTCTCTCTGCACTCTCTGAGAAAAAAATGTTCATTTTAATTAAATTAATTCAATTTGTCTCTATTTCCTTCGATGAAGAATGTAGACATTTAAAAATCAAGCAGATTATATTTGACTTAAATGTATACATTCTTCAACGAAAGAAACAAAGACAACTAAATTAATTTAGTCAAATGAACATGTTCTTTCTCAGTCAGAAGCACATCGTAACTTCCTACAAAATTCGACAGAATATAAATATTTTATTTCGTCGCGATTGAGATATCTGCACTTTCTTATCTTACACTCCGCTGAATAATTTTATCTTCTTCCTTTTGTTACGATAGGTATGTCTGGTTCATGTAGCGTTCGAGTGTGTTGGAGAAGACTACCATCGTTCCGAGTGGCCGGTGTCGCCTTGGCGGCTTTACACGAGGGTGCCGCTTTGGTGCGATTAGCGCAACGCGGAGGTAGAAGACCGGCCAGGCTAAGACCGGCACGTCCCGATCTTAAACGGCCGAACAAGACGGATCTGGTTTATCTCGAAGACAGCCCTGATTACTGCGAAAGAAATCTCACGTGGGTTTTTAACTTGCATCGCGCAAAAATGCTTCTTTCCACTTACAAGGAAACCTATGGAAGTATCCCTCTCTAATTTTGATGAGCTTCAAATATTTTTTTTTAGACAAAAATAAGGGATATTTTTTATAAAAGCTCAATCAATTTCTTTAAAATTTCATATTTAAATCTTTAAAAAATTGTTTAAATAACATCAGGATCGGAGGGATGTTATTTCTATAGTTTCCTGGTTAATCATATTGAATCTTCCAGCTGCGAGTTCAACATGACGTTATGGAAATTTTCTATCATCAACGTCGCCGACTATATTCTTCTTTATTAGATATCAAAAAATACCATGTGAATCTCTTGAGTTAAATAACTTCTTGTTATTTTTTGTATTTCATATCAAAATATAAATCAATCTATTTTTGTAATTAATTTCAAAGTAAAAACTCGTATTAACGTTATATAACGCACTTAATAAATAATAAATTAAATTTGAGTTAATTCAATACATTTTTTAAATAAAATTGTTTAAGTTTCTCCATGGTTTTAATTAAATTAATATATTGAGTAGGAATAGCGAGTCGCCACTGGCAACCTATAGAAATGATTAAAAATAACTCAAATTGAATATAATTTGACACTATGTATTTAACAGTGTCTGTATCGCGTACGAGAAAATCGTGCAATATTTTTCGAGAATAAGGTCTCTGTTTCGTGCTGTAATATCATCGCGCGCTTTCGCACTTTCACGATTGTTGCTCTCTTCACAGGCTCGGCATTCCTGGTACGCGAGGAAGAGTGTGCAATCGGACGTCCCTCGGTCTCGACGGATGCCGGCTGCTGTGCTGCGGCCGGGGCTATCAGACGCGAGTGCGGGATGTCACCGAGAAATGCAAGTGCCGATTCGTTTGGTGCTGTCACGTCAAGTGCGAAATGTGCCGGCACACGCGGGAGGAGCACGTGTGCAACTAAACGACAGATGCATTCCGTGGTCTGGCCTATCTGCAAGAACGCCCTCACATCGTTCTTCGTATTCCGTTTAATTGTTCGTTGCTAGTTCGCGTTGTATATCCGCAATTGACGCCGTGAGAGGCTACACGACACGTTACATCTCGATGCGGTTTCCGCCTGACATAAGCGTAAGCCTCGATTTTCAGCACATCGTGAGAATAATAAAATGCACTACGAGAGAGCGTTTACTTTTGCTTGAGGCCTTTATCTTTTATAGAAAGCACGAAAACGCTACGAAGTGCTATGTGAACGATAGACGAATTTTATATTATAATTCGAAACATATATTTATTTTAAAATGAACGACTTCGATTGCATTTTTTATTAATGCTCCCTAATGAGCATTAATTTCTATCAATGTAGATTAACTTTAATCTCTTCGTTCAACTTTTCACTCTTTTCTAGTTATAAGAATTAAGTAGAAACGCGGTAGAAGTCCGCTTCACCTTCAGTTATCATGTGATTCATTGACTTAAATATTTTAATCATGTAGTGATTTTTTATGGCTCAGACAAAATTGCTCGCGGCAATCGGAGTTCTCGGGATTGCTACTGCAACTCTATAACGTAATGATACTCTTGGCGAGGTTGCTGTTGTGTAACTTCGGTCTGACTGTCAGGTGCCACATTACTTACGCGAACGTTAATGCATCGAAAGTGAATGTGTTACTTTAATTTACCTTCAATCGTTTAATTTTATCTCGATCCGGACGTACTGCGGAGGAGAGGCTTGTATTTCAGGGACACCTTGACGTGTGTCCATAACACACTCGTCTTGCATTATCAGACTCACGCAATCTGACGATTCGAATTCTAAATTAATAATGCAAACAGGATACGGCATCAAGTTTCCCTCATCTCTTTTCCGACATTATATATTATTATACATATATATATGTATATTTATTTATTCGATATATAGCTGTATGTATATCTCTCATATAATTAGTACGCGCATTCTTTTTATAGCGAGAATCGAGTGATAGATTTCATCGGAAATTTATATATCTAGATCTTTCTCCTCGTGACATATTTACGCATCTCGCAATGCTCGACATCGCGCACTGATGTGCCAATTCACTATTTCTGCGTGCGACAGGGAAAGAGAGAATGAGAAATAGAGAGAAAGAGAGTGAGAAAGAGAGAAAAAGAAAAAAAAATGGGAGCAAAGGAGAATAAAAACGTGGTGATAGACCACGTCGATTACTTTTTCCCCTGCTCTCGCACATTCGCGTATAATGCGCGTGCAATTACGCGAGTGTCCTATTTATATTGAAATAAAGACCTCCGCACGGTGTCTCGTATAGATATCTCACACTGTATATTGATGCTCTCTAGCGTAGAATCTTCCCTTTCGTCTAATTGAAGAGCAACGTAGTGAGAAGTCGCGTCACGCCGGGTACGAGAACGAGCGAGACTCGAATCCGCCTCGAGATCTCCACGCCCTTGACTCGTACGAATCGGGAACAATACTGCCAATGAATGTAAATATCGTCTCACTGTTTTTTCTAGACTCTACGTCCGTAATCGTCGTTGTATATACACATAAGCGTTTCGTCGGCTTCGTTTAGGAAAATTTTTTTGCGTTGCGTTGTTTTCACAGTCTACACGAAATAATTCTTAGCCCATCCGCAACTTTGTCTCTCACTGTCAATATTTTTTTAAATATGTATTTAATATGATGATAGTATATATGGATATATTGTATGTACACACACGATCGCTTTATCGTATGTCGCGCCAGGTAAGCCGACAATCTAGTCATTTACGAATTTTCTGATCCCAATATCAGCGGACATTAAGATGCTCACAACGAATTGCACGCGAGATTTCGCACCTTCTTCGGCTGAAATAGTAATAGCATAACGCATCGCGCAATTATTATTTTGAAAGATTCGATATATATACTTTATTATTTTATAGCTATAGATATTAAATATTATACAATGTCTTATAAACAGGAATCTGCAACTTCTCAAATAATCTGCTAAAATAATTTACTCAAATCGATGGAAGGAATATTCGAATACATTACATAGTACCATTATATATGCAACATGTATACATGTATATTATGGTATTATATAGTTATAGATACGTATCTGAAATGTATTATTAAATTTCTGCGCAAATATAAAATTACTCCACAAACCTAATTAATTAGTGGATGACGCTTATTTGATGAATTCTGTAATAAAATATTTCGCCTTATATATACACATATATATTGTGCGAATATATTATATGGACATAAATCATTAACGTTATTTCATGAGGTTGCATACCTATTATCTCTTATTTGTTTAGTTTAGAATACAGCCTTAAGCAACGTAGATATCGCGATTCGTCCGTATATTGTAAAAACTTAGCGTTATAAACGTGTAATCACACGAGGGATACACTCGTGCCGACGACAAACAGAACTCAGTATTGACAGACTGTAATTTATTTTCTTCACAATAATACATCACACTTCGTTAGACTCGTAGTCTTTTCAGTCAAATTATGAGAAGGTTTTCTCGTAATAATAATAGTAATAGTAAAATTGTTTCTTCGTTAACTATGAGATAACTTCTAGTTCGTAAAACCTTTGTATTCGTATGTACCTGTATTCTACGTACATTTATATAAATATATATATATATTCGGAAATGTCCATGCATGCGTATATTGAGTCGAACCTTAACGGAACATGTTCATTGCATGTATCGTCCTTTCACTGTTTGCACTTTGTTAGTGGAGATTCTATTGACGAGATATCGTACGATGATCACACTGATCGTACCGACAATTCCGATGACTGCACCTACCAGAAGGCCAGCGAAGAATTGAATATCCTCCCTGAGTGTCCTCGCTTGTCTGTTTGGCTTATGGAACTTCTTGGTGTCGTCTTTTGTCCTTGTGAGATAGCCCAGCCAATAGATGAGTTTGTCAGAGGGTGGATTTAGTCTGTCGCGTATCGCCATAGAGACCTGTCGTGCATTTTCACGGAAAACCATCGTCCCATGGATCTCTTGTAATGCTCGTGTGAGCTCTACGGCCGAATCGATAAGATCGTTCGTGATTTTCACAGAGCGCCCAAAACCCAACTCGATCACGCGAGCCGCGTTGCGAGACTCTTGGGCGTCCCTCGGCAGACATATTAGAGGTGTCCCGTGAAAGGCAGCTTCCAGGAATTCCGTATCGGTACAATGACTCAACACCACTCGGGTTCTGCTGTAACCTGTAACAATGAAGTAACAGTATTAAGAGAATGCCTCCATGCTATTATCCTTTCTTGTGCGATTATATTCAATTCAATGGCGCTTTGAAGAGTTTGCATTCGCGAGGCACGTATTTCACTTGTGTGCAAGTAAACGCCCTAGACTCATTGTTTTCATTTACTATGAAATATATTGTGTCGTGAAGAGAAAAACATAAAGGTCCCTCAATGAGAATCCTACACATTGTATTTACTAAAATTTAAAAGTTTACATCTTTAAAAATCAATTTTATATATGAAATATGTATATGTATTCTTTATAATTTGATTACTAATTTACACACGTGTATTAAAATATTTAATTTTTATATTTAGTTTTCTCATGGTTACAAAATTATCTTTTGAAATGTATAATTTATATTTTACCTATGATGTCTTGCCGATCAACATTATCCTCAAAAAAAAGATTGTCCGGTGTAATGTTTGTATTGCGCTTCATCTTCCATAAGATAGCCTGACCTTCCTTCTTTTTAGATATTTTCATTGCTAGTCCTTGTAACATTACCTCAAATTTTGCATCTAAAAGAGCAACTATAATACCCATCTTATATTCGACCAATGACTTTTGCAAATTCTCATGTAAGGGATATGCACCTCTGCAGTGATGACAACCGATCTAAAAGCAATTAAATCGATGCTAAATTACAGTTCTAAAAATTTACAAAGATGTAGTATTGAAACGTTAAAAAACAAGAGAATAAATTGAATGAAGAATTAATATTTTACCAACCACTAGGAGTAACTCTGTTAAAGATGCAAAATCAGAACGTAATACTGGATCACCTCCCCAAAGTACTAGTCGAACATTTGAGTAATGATACTCCAAATCGATATTAACGTCCCGTATAAAATGGTTTACTTCTCGTAAAACAGGAATAAAATAATTGTTCTTAATAGTGGAAAATATGGATCTCCTTGAGAAACTTGTCGAAATTCTCGACCAAATTCCACTACTAGTATGCAGTGGCAAAGCAACTCTCGTGCATTCAAATACATACAGTTCCTCATCTGGGTTCTTTATCCAGATTATTGGAATTGATCCAAAATGCTTTGCATATGGAAGCACACAACCATCATGTCTAAATAAAATTACAAAAATATACATTGTATATATATATATATAAAAGAATACATATAAAATATTAATTTCATTAAATTAATGAAGCCTAGATCTCTTTCCAACATACTGTAATGAAATTATAAATTTAGTTTAATATTGATATACCTTAATGCTGGAAATATTGTAAATGTAGGCCGAAGTTTTTCTACTTTCATCACTATATCTTCAGATGTGTAAAGGAAGCTGCATGTTTCTAATGCACGTTTTTCAGCAGACATTGATTGATCAGCGTTAACAGGCAGTTGGAGTACTCGAACGTCGACCATTCTGTCATAAAGTTCATTAGCAGCATATGCCGGTATTATTAATGTTGTATCAATCCCTTGATCTGATAAGGTATTAGCCAGTAATGATAGATCATATACGCTTTCAAACGCAATTACTAGAGCTGACATAGGAGGTATTGCCAGAGTTGAGCCGCTCGCAAATTGGAATGAATAAAAACACACATACAAGCTAATTAACGTCAACATTATAATTATGATTGTGTTTGAAATATTTGTTAGAATTTCTGTATCTTTTACTTATATGGGCGATTTATAAAATTGGATGAACAGCAATCAAATTGACTAGATCTCACTCAAAATTCAATATCCATCATTTCAATATTGATATATTAAAATTCAATATTTCATAAATTATTTTTTGTATAAAAAATAATGTATCTTTGTAGGTCATCACCAGTGGCACAAATAAACTAGCAAACTTCCAAGATTGCTAGTAATTAAGTATTGCACTCAGCTTGATATTAAATAAAGAAATCACAGAATATCTAAAAAGAAAGATGCAAACAAAATTATCAAATATATAAGTACAAGATGTGATAAAGTACATCTAAAGAACATTTTTTAATTTCTTATATATGTTTCTACCTTAATAAAAATTAACTTTAATCTTAGTTCAACTTATTCTTCACTTCTTTCTAATTCTTATTATTAGAAATAAAAAAAAAAAAACGATAAATTACGTTAACCAAGATTAAAGTTAATCTACATTAACGGAAACGGACATTAGAAATATAACACAGAGCAATATTTATTATTTACCTTTCATCACTCTTTGACGTCTAAACTGTAAATACGATCATCGGTATATAATTTTCTGATCGTAGTGCATCAGATCATCAGATTTTAGATCTTAAACCCGAAATGTCCGCGCGAACTTCTGTGCAGTAAATATTGTCGGTTCTCTAGAGATCGTTTTTTTCGAGCACCCTCGCGTGACGTCTCAAGTCAGATCAAACGGAATTTCGAGGATTCCGAAGAGGTTTTCCAAATGCGGTCTGTTTGTGATGCCCAGTAAATAGGCACGGGCAGAGCTGACGGCATCGAGCGGCGTATGAATATCTTGTATCCGAACGTAGAACGTTCGCGAGGCGTCCGCGAACGACGATAAGGATTTGGGACGCTGCGTGGGATTCGATGTGGGTTCCGACTTATTTTCATCGGACTCGCCCTCACACAGCTCACACTGCACCCGGTACTCGGTGTCCTCGCTTGGAGGCGGGAGAGGTGCACACCGACTACGGGGTTCACTGATTTGCTTCTCATTATTAGCGCGTAATAATTTAATTACAATGGCAAATATACTGCGCATGTATCGCATAAACGGAGTAGATGTCACAGTGCGTCACAATATATGTATCTGAATAATTTGAATTTTCGATGGTGGTAGTCGGAGCTGCCGGAGGTAAGTAGACATGCGAGATGTTTTCCATACTTGAACTTGTACGAGTTTGGAACTTAAAGTGAAATAAATACGTACAATACATGTTCCATGTTTGACGAAAGCGAGAAAGAAAATTCTAGTGCAAGAATCAGAGCGACTTTTCTCTGCAGAAATAAAAAACGAATCCCTATTCTTTTTCGGCAAATAATAGTTTCACTTCAACTTATTGCACCAGTTACACCAGTTCCACCAGTGTCGTATACACATAAATGTTTCTTTTCGTTCAACTTTTTGCGCTTTCATCTTTCCTCCTTTTTTCCCAATGGAAGAAAAGGAAAAAAGTGCAGGGTAGTTTACAAGAAGTTCAGCAGACATGCATCACAGTTCAAACTTTCTTCGAGACGAATAAAGAATACCTACAAACGCGAAGATGGAGAAGCTTTTCTGCAACGCGATTGGTCGCCGCTTTATCGTTGTCGGATTGATTGGTGCTCGGCTTGATGCTTCTGACAATCCCAGACAATCCGACGAGCGCGAAGTGAGCATTTCGGGAACTACGTGACCGATCACCGACGACGCACGTCTGTTTGTCTTTCGGGATTTACGCGGTTTAACCTATTTAACCATCAAGTTTGGTTGCTCGGCGAGATTGGGCGAGATACAGTTGGAAGAGCGACAGATTCGGAGTACACGATGGCTACACCTCCGAATACCGGATTGTCCTTCGGTACGCCAAAAGCCACGACAGGTACAGCGAGCATTCTGAACCCAAGCAGAAATAAAACATCTCCGTACTTTCTCTAGCTCCGGAGAAATCGCGTCCGGTATTTTGATGTATATTGGCTTTCTTTCGTGTTGCAAGGACTCACCGGTCTGACTTTTGGCACTCCGACCACCATGGTCACTGGAACCGGCTTTGGCCTCGGTGGCGGGATAACCGCGACAACAACGTCCATATCCACTGCATCGAGTCTACCGAGTTTCACGAATCTTGCGAGCAGCGGGAGTGGTGGGACTCCTATGTCCGCGGCAACGGGACTTTCGTTCGACGCCGCGAAAGTGTCGCCAGCTCCGGCCACGGGGTTTCCCATCGTGACAACTACAACGGGAAGTTTCAATTTTGGTGTTGGAACAGCAAAACCTATGACAGGTATACTCTACTTTCTAATGAAACAACCTCAGATAGCCAAGACTGATGTATTGGCTATGTTCAGTAGAAAAAGCAGCTTTGCAAGTGTTGCAAAATTCTCCTTAGCTACTTATCAGATCTAAATTTATAAACTAATCATATTAAAGATTCTTACAACAGTTGCAAAACTGTTTTAAATTTTATCGTCATTTTGATCAAAATGATGAAGCTTGTTATCTCTGGAAAGAATTCATTTATAGTGTTCTTTTTTTTAAAGAAAGTTCTGAATGAATATATTGGAGTAAAACAAACTATATTTCTTAAGTTATTTATATTTCATATAATTATATTTCTCACAAATTTCTTTCATTCCAACTTTATATAAGTACTTCAGTTTTTTAAAGAACAAACCTATTAAAAAAAACAATAATATTAAGTGAAAAATGATCAATGAAATTAAACATATATGAGTGGAAAATGCTAAAACGGTTTGCATAAACCAAAAATTATATAAATTTACAAGAAATATTATTAGGCACAATGAACCGCCTTGATTGAATAAGGTGCTTTTCTGAGGTATATTCTATTAGAAAGATGTTTTATGCACATGTTACATCTTTAAGGATCCACTGGCTTGACTTTTGGTACTCCAAATACTATGACTACTGGACCTGGCGGCTTTGGTCTTGGAAGTACAATTGCAACTACAACGTCGGCAACAAACGTACCGAGCTTTAACCTTCCTAGCAGTACAGCGCCAACGTCTGTAACACCGGGGCTTTCATTCGATGCCTCGAAAACAGGTACCACAACTTCGAACACAGGATTTTCTCTCGCAGCAACTACTACAGCAGGATTTAGTTTTGGAACATCAACGACTGCTTCCACTGGATTTCCTTTGAGCAAAACAACTTCCGCTGTTGTTTCAACGAGTTTAGCAGCACCTGCAACTCACACTTCCTTGGGTACTACCACTACGTAAGTATTGTTTTGTTAATTACAAAATTCACATCTTCAAAATAATTAGCTTATTCTTACTCTCATTACTAATGACAAATTTGATTATTTATTACAACAACTCAATTTTAACTTTGTAAAAATCTTTTATTGTAGTGTTAGTTCTGCAACTGGTATTCAACCAGGTGCCATTAATTTCTGTCAGCTTGAAGAATCTATCAACAAGTGGACTTTAGAATTGGAGGAACAAGAGAAAGTATTCGTGAATCAAGCGACACAAGTTAATGCCTGGGATAAATTGTTGATAACAAACGGGGAGAAAATAGTAACGTTAAATCAAGAAGTTGAAAGAGTAAAAATCGAGCAGCAACAATTGGAGCACGAATTGGACTATGTTGTAAGTCACATTTGTAAAATTAATTACTAAATTTTCATCCAGTTAAATTAAAATAATTATATCATTTAGGTAGGACAACAGAAAGAGCTGCAAGAATGTTTAGTACCACTGGAAAAGGAGCTAGCATCTCTTTCTGTCTCGGATTCCGATCGAGAATATACGTATCGTTTGTCGGAGAACCTCGATACTCAGCTAAAACGCATGTCAGAGGATTTGAAGGAAATAATAGAACATTTAAATGAAGCAAATCGTGCTCAAGACTCCAGTGATCCTATCGTTCAAATTGGAAAAATTTTAAACGCGCATATGAACAGTTTACAATGGCTGGATCAACAGACGGCTCTGTTGAATCAGAAAATACAACAGATAGATCAGATGCATCAGAGTTTCAGGCAAGAGAGCGAACAGAATTTACATTTAGCTTATAATTAGCCATTAACTCATTTTTTATACATATATAAATTTGTAAGAACTATTTTTTGTGTGTAGTTTATTTAATGAAAAGTTTAACATGTGTGAATGAATATGGTGTATGAATGAGAATTATGAGAAATATATACATATATTTTACAGTTAAGTAATACTATTATATATCTAAATCTTTTTTGCTCAAGATGCAATAGCTGGTATAAAGTAATGCATCTTGACGTGATCTCCCACATCTAAAGTTAGTTTCACCATCTTCTCCTGCAATAAATTACACTTAACACTATCTGGGTGAAGAATGTCCCAACCCAAAAACATAGAGAGTTTCTTTATATTAATAGTCGCCGAAATATCGTCAGTCTCTTGTTCCTCTTCGTCTTCATAAATTTGTAGTCCTTTAAAATGAGTGGATACAGTAGCGTAATTCACATCAACTGTTATTGTCAATGTACCACGTTTGTTGGCGATCATTGTCAGCTGAGAATTTATATTTTTCATTCTATCCGCGATATACCGCAGATATTTCAACTGCGGCATTTCCAGCGATATCTGAAATAAGGCTGTATTTCTGCCGATTCGATCACGTATGGTTTATAAATATTGCATTAAAAATGTTTTTTTTTTAGTTGAATTTTTTGCAGAGAGTTCATTTTTTTTCTTTTCCTTGAAAAGAAAAGAAGCTGAACCATGCAAGAAGTTCAGCTAAAAAGCATAAATATTCTACCTACATCAAACTCAGGAATATCTGGCATCTTGTGTTCCGGCCAATCCCTACGAGGTATGAGCTTCACGGGCACATCATGTATACATTGTCGTGCGTCAACAGACAGGGAGGTCAGGTCAATTTCAAACGTCAGACAGGGTTGTCGCCTGTTCGTCAATTTAATCTTCACACTCTTCGCCATTGCCCTCAGGCTATTCAAGCTTCTGGCAAACATAGAGGCGTCAAACTCTAAGTAGATCTTATTCTCCTGTTCGGTCACGCCGCTCATAATGTACTCCGCGAAAAAGTGTTGTGGCAAGATCACCGCCCAGAGCACAGGTATATGCTCATCACCGACATTAAAGCACAATTCGGTCGGTGTCAATTGCAACACGCAATACTTTGCCATTCGGGATATAGTACTAACAATATCTAAAGAATACAAAAGATGTTTATTAACCAATAAGATTTCAAAATATCGTTAATATTAAAATCTGCAGGCTTATTCTGTAACTCTTAACGCAAATTTCATTATCATTATAGCATCACTGCGCAGTTTTTTTACTATGCGTTTTATCATTCTTTACTAGAAAAGTTGTGCAGCAGCGTTATAACTTATAACGATAATGAAACGTGCGTTAAGAGTTACAGAATAGGCCTGCTGATCTACAATGTACTCTTGGTTTCTCGTTTCTTGCTTTTTATTTCTTGTCTTTAGTCTCTCACTAAGATTTTTTGTTTTCTGTGGCCGAGATAAAAGTTAAAGTACTTAATCAAGAAATATGTAAAAAGAAATAGGATTGTTAATGAAATGGTCGTAAAGAAGGATGACAAACTTTGGAAGAGACAAAAGACATAATAATAAAGATTATTAATGATACAATCACAAAGAGGAAAAAAGATAAAAGGTAAATGGTAAGAAACAAGAAGCAAAAGAGATTATAGATCAATCTTTAGCAGAGTTGTGCATTTACATGTTAAATATAATAATTTACATCTACATATATATAATGTAAATTATGTTTTACGTGTTGTCTATGTAAGCAATTTGTGGATTACGTTCTTGAAGTCCATGTTTTTGTCATTGTAATGGACTGCATTAAACTTTCTATTTTGATTATATATTTTTATTTATCAATATTAATATCAGATATATTAATAATCATAAAACTTAATTTAATTTCTTCCTATATTGTATTATCCAATTTATAATCATTTACATATTTATCACAAGTTTTCTCGAGAAAGTATCACTATAGTCAAAATGAAATGTGTTGGAATAATAACTCTATATATAACTTATTTTAAGTACAATTTAAGATTACTTTTGGACTTGCAACACAATCTCAAACTAAAATACTAATAATCATTTCAAATTTAAGATCCTTTATTTGAAGATTTTTATTTGAAGAATTCTTGTTACGAAAAGTATTACCTCAGTTGGGATAACATATTTTACATTGCTTATATAAGAAAATTTATGTAAATTTAACGTAAACAATATATAAATATTTCATGCAAGTATAATCTTGGAAGAACGTCACAACCCTGAATCTACGACGAGGTTAGAAACACCAAATTTAAACTTTACGTGTAAAATCCCGCATGGCACCTGCGTCTGTCATTCTGCCTTTGAACTTCATTTTTAATCAAGTTTATCATTGACACTTATGTTATTACAAATGTCAAAAAAATCAAGAGAATGCAAAATTGGCGCGAAAAACTAGCCGGTCGTGTGCGACTATTGTCACGTGTCACCAGATGACATGGGATTTCGTTTGTTTGCCAATCTTTTCTGTGGTATGACTTCGATAATTGTTTCACATTTTTTATTACAATTAATAAAGTGTGTTTCAATTTACTCTCAGCGCTGAAAATGCGTTTTCTACTGGGAAAATTAGTGCAGCACTGGTAGACAATTGAGTGCAATTGAATACAAATCAATTTACTACATAAATGATTTAACTTTTTTAATTAAATACTCTTTGTTGTCACAATAACCTCATAATGTTAAAAAAGAATCGAATTATTTATTAATACTGAAAAAATATGTAAACCGATTGTACTGAATTGCACAAAGGAATCGGTTGTGTATCTTAAAACGAGATGAAAATTACCAAAGTGAAGCAAATTCACTAGATATTGAATAATTAAATTATTAATATTCTAGTGAATGTACTCTCGTAATTTTTACCTCATTTCGAAATACACAATCGATCCCCAGGAAACACAGCGTCTCGGTATATGTACATACAAAATTTACATCACGTTCACTGTACGTTCTCAGCTGAACGTGAATTTGAAACGGCGTATTCCAGTGTATCCAATTTCTGATAGGTTGAAATTCGTCATCATTCCCTATATTCCTAATTTCTTTATTCCTTTCGCATTGCGGCATAGAACACAAATTTCTTTTGCCACCGTCGGTTATATAGGAACTCCGCTCTAACGTATTATCGATCGATTTCTTTCGCATAAAACATATATATAAATAATAATAATAAAGGATACGTGCGATAATGCGAGAATACAAACGAACCACAGAGCTACATGACCGACTCGACGAGGTCGACCTCCGCCGGCGTCGATGACTCTACGGGAAGTATACTAATAAAAGATAATCGTCTTGCGGCGTCGCGCGTCGCGGGATTGGAAACGAGCTACACCTCGCAACCTCGCAGCAATCGGGCTGTCAAAACTCGGCGTGGTCAGCCGGTGGGTCGCGTTGATCGTCGCGAACGCGACGTAGCGTCACGCAGCGTGTCGGTGTGCCGAGCACTGCGAGCAGGTGCGTGAGCGTGCGTGAGTTCGCGCGGGAGTGTCGCGCTCTGACGAAGATTTCTCTCCCCCTCGGCCGAGGCATCGCGTCCCGATTGTTTCGAGACTTCCGAGGGTGGTGAGGCGCGGCCATATTGTTTAAATCACTACGCATTTATCACTCGAATGTTCACCCTGAGACGATGCGGCAATATGCTTCTGAATATAAAAAGGTGAGTGTTGTGCACGATGAATGTGTTGCCTTCTGTATCGCGGCGACCCACGAAATGGGAGTCGCGTTTTAGACGCGTCTCTCAATCTACACCCCTCCCCCCCTCTCCTGTGTGCCGTATTTAAAATTAGACAAGTCTATATTCGGGGCATTTTGCGGCGGTCGTGACGGTGGGAGAAAACGAACAGGGGAGCCTCCTCGGAGAGGTCTGCGGGAGCCAGGACGAGCCGGCTCCGCGTATCGCGGCCTCACGCCTGCTGGCTCTGTCCCCCTTTTATTTTTAAACGCGATGTTTTTGGCGGGAAAGGAGCATGCGAGAGCGCGCCAAGTCAGCGGTGCATCAATGGCCCCGCGACCGACCGGCCGGCAGGCCCTGACGTGTGGCCTTTCGTTCGCAGGTAAAATGCTTCTGTATCACGACAAGTACGAAGATACAGGTTTTCACGTCACTGCAGACACGTTCGGCCTCGAAGACCTCGCGCAAGACGCTCTCACACGTTTTAACTTGGCGCGCATCCTGCAGGTACACGTCTCCACAGGCGGGTCGATTTTGTTTCATCTATTTTGCTGCGTGTCGTGAGGCACGAAGGAGACTTTGGGAGCGACAACAACATCTCCGCGCTCCTCGTCAAGGTGAATTCGAGATATCGCTCGTCGAATATCGTACCTCTGAGGTACCTATTATTATTGTTCCACTATGCGATTATCGTTACGTGTCATTTGTTTCCTGCGGCCGAACGGACGATGTCCTCGCCGATTCTCGATCTTCCCGTACAAAGCGTTTTCGAACGCATCGCGTCTGTCAATTTGTGCCTTTTTTTTATTTACATTCGTATCTGCACGCGAAAATGAGTTTTTTAAGTTTATGTTTATCAAGCGAGGTATGTAGGACGATTGGGGGTTTTGTCAAATTTTATTTATTTTTTTTTGCAATTTATAGCGTTTGAAGTTAATTGGAGTTCGGTCAGTCGCTTTAAAAAATTTTAATTTGTCAATCTTAACGTCATCCCCCCCTTAGATTTCTTAGCTCAATTTTATTCCGAGGGAAATAGGCATTCTTTTTTTTTATCGATGCAATTGAGTGTTTTCGATCTGTTAATTGGATTCATTCATATATTTGGTTTAACGTTTCGTTACAACTCGGCAAATAAATGTTTTTAAAAGTATTTTCGAAACAATTTTTTATAAAATTATATAGCGCATATTTTTTATTTAGTATTCTTATATAAATTTTGTTAATCACTACGATGTCAACATTTCCTTAGAGAAAATTGAAAACAAACTTTAAAGTTTTAAGACTTACTTATTTTTAAATATCCTCAAACTACATAGTTTGTGACGGTCAGAAGGCGCATTAATTTCTGAAATTTT